ACTTTTGGGATTGATCAAACGCTTCTCGTCCTGATCGACTTTACTCCTATGAGCGTTACGCCTCACCCATTTGTCTTTAGGTTTGGTTATGTACTAAAGCTGACCCGCTAGTCCACAGCATTTTGATGATCGCCCTAACCATTAGAGAAACCAAGTATGGGCCCATGGAAGACCTTTGCGGACTCATGACAGTCCTCGATCCCGGATGACTTTGATTGGATGTTCCTTTCCTGTAGATTGCACTTATTATGTACAGTCCTCGTATTTCTTGGTATGGTCTCTCCGTGGACTTCCTGTTCTGACTCCATTTATCGCTGCTTGACTGATTTTAGCCGGAAGATCTAGTTGATCGGCGTAAGATAAAAAAGGTGGTGCGGTATAAATGGGGTTGATCACAGTCTGGTAATTTGGCCGCCTATAGAGGCTGCAAAAACCGGATTGTTGTTCTCTGATCGTTAAACTGACGTATCCATGAACCTCGAGAAAACACCGACACTTTCTCGCGATAGCGGCTGATCTCAATCCACTTCAAAGCCTGGGCTTCCTCTGACATTTTTGAAACATTTGGGTCCCATAATGAATTTGAATAGGCAAGTCGGAAGATAAATACTGCGAGAGGAATTCCTCTCGTTTACTCGGTCGCGTACGTGTTACATCGAACAAGATAGACAAATGAAGCGAATTGAGAAATCTAGTTGGTATTAACCACGTGTGTGATTGTGTACAGTGTGTGTGATGCACGGGATTGGCTACAGTCATGGAAGGCCATACGCTTTTGGACGCACAGTGTGGGTTTGTTGTGAGCGATTGATAATGCCTCGAGTATCCTTAGTCGGTGTTTGTCTCGATAACGTAACAAAACGGAGAACGCGTTCGTAAGGTCTACCCTATGGCCGTTTTCAACCAAGTGACTTGCGATGGCCGAATTCGGCCTGAATGATGCGGTGTGATGTTTTTGACAAAAACAACAGTGTAGAGGAAACAACAAGAAATCAACGGTACCACTTTCCTGTTGTTTAGTGAATCAAAGAACAGACTGGCAAATTTACATTAGGGAAGCAATCATGAATGTCTGATCAGCCGAGTGTTAGACCTCGTGAACAGGACCCAAGTACCATGAACAAACCCAATCTGCTCGAAGCGAGGGGTGCTAATTTCGAGCATCGTCAATCATATGTGTCGATAAGTAACTCCCTCATCAGTGGAATTAAGAAGCAAGAAGCTTGAAATGGAACAAAGGGAGTAGTTCTGAAAGGCGCGTTATTTGGTTGGAGGAACGTTAACTGCAAATTCCACTAGGAGAAACAACAGCGAATGCTCAGTAGATACTTACCGAGATGCTTCATCTTCACCTGCGTCGGGTGTCGACGAATCTAAGCAAACACGTTTGCGATACCCCAAATCATCGTCGTTAGTCCCAGAAGTTGGCAAACGTTTTTGAAGCAAAGGATCTGCTCTACCCAAAGCCAACTGAAAGTTTAGACAATAGTCAGCATTTAGGGAAGCAGTTCACAATGATCTTCGATAGTATGTAACGAAAGTGACGTTGGATAATCAACATACCAAATCCATTAAAACACGCCCCCACACTGTTTGCTGTTCGAATTGAGCTAATCAATCGCAGTCCGTGGGGGCGAAAACATCACAGAAAATAGTTGTCAGAGATTTTATGTATGTATTTCAAGTCAAATAATCGTTTGAGCATCCTAGTGAATGAATATTTAGCATCCTTGTAACCATGAAAGAAAAAGCGTTATGGCATGGAAAAGTGAACCAAAATGAACCACAAGAAGAACAATATTGAAAATCTGTTTAGAATAAAGCATCAAATCAACTGCAACAAGTTGCGGATTTGTAACAAGTCCAGCGAAATACGGAACAAGAGAGAGTGAATGTGTTTATCAGGTGAACAGGTGGGAGAGAAAGAAACATGCCTGCTCAGGTCATTATATAGGGGATGAGAACAGAAGAAAGTTTCAGAGGCTAACGCTTGGCACGCTTTGCAGTGCTGAGCCATGGTATGGTGCACAGTTTACCTGAGGAATCTTGAGGCGACTTTCAGGTTCACATTGATAAACCCCGAAAAACAGAAATTAAAACATAAAATAAAGGCTATTGAGACAAAAACGCGAGCAGAAACAAGAAGCTTGTAAAGTCAAAAGGGGAAAAGTGGCTCAATGAGGGAAACATAAAACGCAAGCCTGTTTAAATTTTTGAAACTCTATTGTGATATGATCGGATCAGGTGAGGTAGGGATGACAGAAAGTTAGAGATACTCATGTTGCGATGCATTCATTAAGCTCGCAAAGATGGGTTGTGCTACATTGTGCACGAGGAAAATATAAAACGGTCTTATTGGACGCCTACTGGCGTTCTGACCGTGGGGTCCGGGTTAGACGGATTCACACTGCTGATGAGACCAAAAAGGTCGAAACAACGGTCTAGCGTTTCCTAGCTTTTCAGTTTATGTTTCATTTGCCCACCATTTGCTCGAACCAAATCCGTCAGTGCTGTCATGTAAGACATTTAAGGGTCCAAATAAACATTTTAATAATTAGGAGATGGTCCTTAGGAATTTGTCTCCAACTCTTCACGGTGGAGAAAATGATGTCAAAACACGTATTGAGGATTTCATTGCCAAGAATCTCCAACTTCCGCTCAACCAGCTTGTAAAGTAACCTGTGATCGTCAGTTTAGTTAAGATGAGCACATTATTACATGATCCGCGCATTTCATAAGAAGCGGCAAAATAATAAGGCACGGACGCTACGTTAACGTCAAACAGAAATACAATAGCGTCTTGGTGTCTTGTATGGAGGCTAGTACCGAGGATGTAGTAACGTGTGGATTGCAATCATTTTGCGAAATTGCTGGTTCATAGTAAACATGCGGGAGGCTGAGCAACATTTCCTTATCAACAGTATTGAAGGCATCAGAATAGTCAAAGAAACGCGCGGACAGCCGTTTTTCTTAGCATTAGAGGAAAAGAAAAGACAGGTGAACAAAGGGGCACTTCAGGAGGGTCTAAGCAAACTCCTCAGAGTAGTTAAAATTCAACTGGATGAAACATCTTAAACAGGAACCTCTTTAACACTCTCAAAACCATTGAGCGGCAAAATTTTGAAACCGTTCTTGGGTAAGGGGATGATCGAGACCATTTTCCCATAGATGGGTACAATCTTCTATGAAAAACATTAATTATTTCAGTAAAACGTCAGATAACACACAGGACAAGGAGACGGGTACAAAATTGCTTTAGGGCATCAGACGAGACCCAGTCAGGACCCCTTGTCTAGTTGAGAAGTAGCTGGACCAGCTCAGGATGATTAAACGCAGGAAATAAAGATATCAGTTTGATCAAGTTCAGATAGCGTTCCTTTGGTATGACTGAGTATAAATCCTAAGGATTTACAAAGCTTCGATTGAGTCAAACTGAGTCCATGACAGTTAGGCGGTGCGGGGATTTGATGCCGGAAATTCGCATGAGGACTTGTTAGCTTTGTTGTCACGATGAGCGCCAGTGTACTCAAAATACAATACAAAACGAGACTCAAGCACATAATTCAGTTTCTGACCATAGAAACAACAAACGAACATACCCACAAAAATACTCCATCGCTCTATCAGTCACGGATACAAACAAAATTTGTCTCGACTGTATGCTATGAGAGTTTTCGCAAATATATAGAATGGGCACCAAATAACCCTGAAATCCGGAATGATACCGGTTGCAACCAGATTCGTTATTGTTTACCTAGTATCTGCTTGTTAAGGTTCATGATTTGCAATAGTAGTAGGCAGCTTCTCTATCGTTCAACTCAGCATCACGTTTATTTCGTCTCCGGATAAGGAGCTTGGCTTACCGTCTACTTTGAGTGAACAAATATTAACCACAGACCGTCAGCTTGATTTATTTGAATGTTCATCAAACTACTGTGAAATATATATATATATATATATATATATATTAAAATAAGTAGTATATATATTTACGACACCTATCTCTACAGATACGATGCCAATATAATCATGGGTGATCGAAAAACTGCAGGTATAAAAGCGGGGAAAATAAAATAGTCAATTTCGGAGGGGGGTTGCTTACTGCACGCCATTTCGAGTTTTTTTCATTTACTTTTGGGATTGCAAACTGGAGAGAATGCATTCGCGCCACTGACTTCGGTTCGATGCCATATCCCGCAGTGTCTCCA